GTAGGTCCATTGGCATCTGAGGCAGCTTTTCTCAGGCCAGCATCCGTCATGAAACTTAACTCTGCTGAAACCCAAGGGCTGCTTCTGCTCGGGGAGGACTGCACCGGCGAGGGAAGCCAGCCCAGGACATCTCCAAGGCTGCCTCCAGAGGGAAGCATGGGGACAGAGCCCTCCTCAGCAGGGGCTTTTCCCTCGGCATGTATCTGGGAAGTTTAGCACATCCTAGGGGTGTGTGTGGTTCTCTTAAGGGTCAAGTAGGGCCACTGCTGCAATGCTAGGGGTAAGCAAAAAGGACAATGTATGAAGCAGTGGGGGAGCTGCTTTGAAATCTGTCCTCTTAGTATACCAGAAACGTTGGTTTGAAAGTCCTTTTCTTGAACTTGGCCTTTGTCGCTAGGAACAGCCAATATAGCTGTCATGGTTCTTATTTCCTTGGTTAATATTTGAAAGTATTTCCCATGGGATTTCTAAATAACTCAGAGACTATATAGAAGGAAAAAGTTGGTTTTATTATTTTCGCCCCCAGAAGCCTGTAAGTAGGCAGATTTTACACAACCACACTCATTCTCTGATGGATTTCACTCATGCATGCTCTCACACCCGTGCACTCACGAGTACCGAGGCATGTCCACGTGCTCTGGCCAGGGTCACTTGTGGGACACAGAGGACAAGAGGCAGTGGCTGCTGAGTCCTCATCACATCCCTGAGGTTGTTCTTGGCAGGCAACAACAAACCAGTGTGGGGTTGCTTTTCATACCCTTTGGGAGTTAATGATGTTTACAGGTTTTTTGCTTCATTGTTTTTTCTCATCCCTCATAATTCTCAGGCAAGCTTACTGAATTTCTGTTCTCTTTTTCTCATAGTCTTGATATTTTATGACTCCAGTCCTGTTCTTCATCATCTTGATACCTTATCTGTAGGTCACGTTGTTCCTCCTCCTTTTGTTACTTGAATGAAATCACGGGTAGGGTGCGATTGGCACACTGGGCACGTGCCACTCCTTTAACCCGTGCTCTCCCCATCCTTCTGGTGCCTGCTCACTTGCTCTCACACAGGCATAGGCTCATGCATGCACATAGACCTTTACTCTGCCTGTGTTCATCGCCCCAGGCAACACCTCTGGTACAAATTGCTGCATGCAGACTCACGGAGTAACGTATCTGGCCCCAGCACTGTTCCTTCCCTGCCAGAACGTGTCTCTGCGCATCCCACGTGTTAGTAGTGGGGTGACTTTGAGTGCATCAAACAACCCCCCAAAATGCTCGAATACCTTGTAAGAAGGGGCACAGTTCACACCAGCTCTCCCTGTGGCAGGTTTGAGGGCCGTGAGGCTGGTGAGCATGGATTTGCTCACTTCTGTAGTGGAAGGGCATAGAGGATAGGGTCCGAGAGGAGGATTTCTACACTTCATTTCTGCATTTCCCAGCCAGAGGCGTGGGCCATGCAATGAACCCCGTGCATCCAGCGTCTCGTGTCTGTGATGCCTGCAGGGCCCGGGTCTGCACCACGCGTGTGGTGCGGCGGCTGCCTTCAGCCTGGGTTGTACCTATGGCATATGTGGAGCAGTTCTGCCACTGGGATTGACTGGGTCCCGCTTCTGCATTTCTGATGCCTGCTGTTACTGGGTGTCTACTGATGTTGGGAAAGTCTGTCCCGCCTGTCTGATTTCACTGCCCAAGTAACTGCAGGACGGCTTTGCATGCAGGTTTCAACTTGCACATATGATAATTTGCGTGGGACTTGTGGAAATGCTGGAGCGTGTCCAGAGAAGGGCAACAAAGCTGGTGAGGGGTCTGGAGCACAAGTCTGGTGTGGAGCGGCTGAGGGAGCTGGGGTTGTTCAGCCTGGAGAAAAGGAGATTGAGGGGAGACCTGATCGCCCTCTACAACTGCCTGATGGGAGGCTGTAGCCAGGTGGGTGTTGGTCTCTTCTCCCAAGTAACAAGTGATAAGATGAGAGGAAATGGCCTCAAGTTGTGCCAGAGCAGGTTTAGGTTGGACATTAGGAAAAATTTTTTCACCAGAAGGGCTGTCAAGCATTGGAACGGGCTGCCCAGGGAAGGGGTTGAGTCTCCATCCCTGGAGATATTTAAAAGACCGGTAGGTGAGGTGCTCAGGGACATGGTTTAGTGGTGGGATGGCAGTGTTAAGTTAATGGTTGGGACTTGATGATCTTAAAGGTCTTTTCGAACCTAAACAATTCTGTGATTCTACGATTCTAAATTAGGCAAGTGAGTTGATTCTACTGCTCTGACTGTGCTGCCTAGAGTAGAAATTCTAGGCAAGGAAGCAAAGTGCTTTCCATGCCTATCTCCTTGCCCACACAAAATTTTCCAAGCAGAGCAAATGAATGTATCCAGGTGTTTTTGGTACTGATGGTAATTTCCATGATTTGTGTGTATGACAAGGGTTTACTTGATTCTCCATGCTCCACATGATCATTGAGGTGGAAACCTTTTCACTGAGTGGGGGAGCTGGAGCTTTCTTGCTAGATTTGCTGTGGGTGGATAAAGCTGATCTCTGCCTCGTAGTAATTTCATGCAAGTCCATAATTTTTATCACGTGAATGGGGTGGAAATTGCCGTGGCCGCCAAGGCCTTGTGGCGGGGTGCATGGTGGCGCCGGTGGGAGCATCAGCAGCGTGCCTCTCCTAGGGCTGGAGCAGCAGTGCTGCGGTGGGTGGCTCTGCGGGCAGAGGTGGGGAAAGGTTGACTGCTACATGCTTCCTAAAAGCCGCGATGCCGAATCTTTTATCATAGCAAATTGATGCGAGAGATGTTGGAAAGTCAGTAGGCTGCCCTAATATGTAGGAACGTTTCAACAAGACTGTGGTATTTCATATACACGGAGCGCCTGCTGATGACACTTGAAAGTCATGTTCACCCAGCCTACAGCAGGGATTATTTTTTTGTGTGTTCTCCAGCTTTTTTAGAGGAAAGGGCAAAAATTGATCATATGCATGTGATAATGCAGAGGAGAAAACAGAAAACAGATGCTAAACAACCTCTGAAGTTATTTCCTTCCTATAAAATGAATAACTGCTGCATATGGAGTTACATACTATGCACCAGTGACTTAACAAAATATGATTTTATTATTTGGACACCTCTTTCTGACTTCATATAAAAGTTGTTCTCCTCTTGGTTATTTTTTTTTATCTGATACTAACCTAAGCAATGCCATTGAAATGCCAAAACCTTACCTATCAAATGCAGACTTCCCGTTTCTATAGCAACCAAACTCATCCTTGTACTTAATGAAGGAATATTGGAGTGTGAGTAACTGGGACTTTAAGGTTTAGAAAGACAAACAGAAGCACTTTATATTTGAAGATTAGGGAAATTAAACAGAAGTGACCTCTTTGCATAGAATAAAAAAAAATTGCCCAGGCTTGGGATACTTCATTAGTAAGATTGAAACCATATTAATGTAATAAGGAGCTCTGTGTTTTAATCTTGTTTTTCTAATTAAAATGTAAAAGGCTTTTATAGCAAGTGAGAGTCTTTGAGGGGTTTTTTTCCCCCTCTTCCTTTTCCAAAGCTGCTGTGTTTGTGGTTAAGCTAATGAAAATTTGGGCTGCCTCACAACAGATACATTTTCCTTCTGTATTGGCAAAAATCCATCGATATTTTTTGTCATTGGCTGAAAAGAAAGGGGGAGGAACAGCATGTGGTGTTTAATCCTATGTTTGATCTGCAAGCTAGTTCCTGGTCAGCTAGTTTAAATCTGCGTTACAGTGATAATTGCTGAACAAGCTACAGAGGAGAGCGTGAAGAAAGGAGCAGCTGTCATCTCTTCCTATTGTCTTATGGCTTTTCAATTACAATTTTAACGACCGTTAAATTCTGATTTAAAACAACTGTAGGAAACATCGCAAGGAAAAGCAACAGTGCTGACAGCAACATATCATGAATGTTTACGAGCCTGTGTTTCTGTATTAGCGTGCTGATAAGTACCACACAGCATTTGTGGCAGGTTTATTGTGCTTAATTATTAATCTGTAGAAGTGAATGTGGGCAAATGGGAAATATGAAATAGGGAATTCTGTTGCAATCTTACTGGCAAAAAACCCCTGTTTGAATATATTTCCACAAGACAGTCCAATTTCTCTGCTATTTCTTCTGTGATTTTTCTTTTGTTGTGTTTTTTGATGTTTTTTTTTTTTAAGCTGTGATTCTGATAAATTCATCATTTCTGAGGGCTAAATGAAAGGTAGACAGGGTTTAAGGAAGCTTTTATCTACTGAACGCACTTGCCACAAGGCGGCTGAGGCAACCGATGATACCACTGATGGTAGCAAATCGCCCCACAGCAAAAGGAAGGATGGAGGACAGGATAAGACAGATGGAAGACCGGCTTGTTTGAAAGTTGATCAAGATTAGCTATTGCGAAAACAAAAAGCGAACTCAGAAACCACCCACTCAGCAAAATCCAGCTTGAAACTGGCTGAGCCGTAGCATATTAAATGGTGGGCAGGTGGCATCCCGTATGAGCTGGGCGGCTCTGTCCTGCTGAGAGCTGCGCTCCCCTGCCTCCCAGCAAAGTGACTGGAAAGGCACGCGGCGTCTCTGAGACCTGTGAAAAGGCTCCACCCCAAAATCTTTGGGTTGTGTTTTACCCTATGTTCCCTGCAAAAAAAAAAAAAAAAAAAAAAAAAAACACCAAAAAAAACCCCAAAACTTTTCAGTTTGGTAAAATGCTTCTCTAGGCAGAGACTGAAGGAAAGCTGATGGATGAGGATACAGCAGGTCTGCAGGAGGTGTGGTGGGTGTATGGAAGTCACACTGTTTGCACCACAGCCAGCTGTTAATGGGCTTCTCTGGTGCTGCTAGGGTATTTGAAGCCTAAATACAGGCAGAAACAAGATGTATTTGATTGTTCATAACTTCAGCTGAAGGCCTTGAAGGACATTAACTCCCTGAAAGTGTCATAAAGAGATGCTCTGTGTGAGCCTTTGCTGGTGGGGGGGACTAATGCGCTCGTGTGTGCTCTGTGTTTCAGGGATAGAGCTCTGTCCTCCTGGGCACCGGTTCATGATCACCATGGTGGCGAGCTTCATCGAAATGGCAGGGCAGTTCCTCATGCCGGGGCTGGCTGCTCTCTGCAGGGACTGGCAGGTCCT